GATTACACAGGGGATTAGGACGGCTTCCCATTAACAGAATTGTACTGTTGGCTGTCGAAAGGACGGGGCGTTTCATGAAATCGCTTTTGTAAACTCATTTCCAGGGGGGGAGTTAATTTGCCTTTTAATTAAAAATTCGCTCGGGGTTTTGAGTATTTGATTACAGGTACAGAGCGTTTCTACAACTGTTATGATAATTTCTTATTTGTATCGTATTTCGGCGATATTTAATTAATGGAAAGTAAACTCAAATTAATTTGTATTGTATGTCACGTCTATATAATGTATTTAAAAAAAAACTCTACCCTTCAGTAGATATTGAGAAATATAGTCAAAGAAAGTCAGTCCCTGCGTCCTGTCTCTGCCTACTTTATTCTACCTTTGAACAGCATGAAAGTAAAACATCAGCGTCTTCTTTTTCTTCATTTACTTAATCCGTGAACATGACGTCACAAGGATCTCATTCCTCGTCAAGATCTGAAAAAAATACTATAGAATATACAAACAGATGTCAAGCATGATGTCTATTATGTTTTTACATGCAATTCTGGCTCTCCTCTTGCCGGCCCCCAGCCTAGTTGCATCAAAAGCATGTTGCATGTTGCCTCGTAGTTGGACTTTGCATGACGCTAAAGCAGCACCGCATTTCCCTTTTAGTGCTTGTTTCTAGTTTTGTTGGTTGTAGATAATAACATGACCGGATAATGGAGGAACATATCATCGACTAATGAAAAAATATATATTGTGATTAAGATGGTCGAAGTAGTAGGTATATAGAGAATAAATCTAATAAAAGTCGGAGGGAAATTTGCCTGCTACTTTACGAATAGAAATGTTGGTGTTAGAATGCAACAGATTAATGTTAGTTGATGGAAATTAGTTATTTTTAAAAATCAGAACGAAATACCCCATTGTGAAACCATGAGAGAAGAATATCATACATGTTCTGTAGTCCTAGTATAAGCCTTTTATATCTAGACATTCAATACAAAACAATGATTTTGACTGATTTAGAATTAGGATACGATTAATGGACTCGATATTCTATACCCTGTTTACTCACACGAAGTAGTTGTGTAGAAAATGTAGTTTGGTGTTCTCAACCCTCATGTCACGTGATCAAGTTAATGTCCTATGTAGTCTGTACTGTAGATCCTCTCAAAATAACGTGTCTCCTGTGTTTAGATCTTGTCACTGACTATAGAATATAAAGGAATTCCTTCCCTGTGACAAAGAGCTGATTTTTAGACATGGAGGAACCACTGGTAAAGAAGCTGCAGAATGTAAATATTTAACCACAACTTGTGATAATCATGATAATTATGATGTAATGATAACGGTAGGAAATGGGAATGAATAATAATTATCATAATAATCATAGTAAGTCATGCCAGTGATGACAGTAATGATGAATATAGTAATATATAATGACAATGGTAAATAGGATAAAAAGATATTGGAACCATGAAAGCTCATTAACAAAAGGATAATAAAAATGAAAAATAGGCATAACCAAAAAAATAGTAACAAAAATGGTGATGATAATTATGGGTATTATGATGGTAATAATCATAATCATGATAATGACAAAAAATATAACAATGATAATGATAACAATTATAAAGATAATGACGGTGATAATAGGAAAAATAACAATAATGATAATGATAATAGCACTAATGAGATTAAAAATAAGAGCAAGAATAATGATAAGAAGAATGATAATACTAATAACAATAATAATAATAATGATAAAATGATAATGATAATAAGATAATGATAATGATAATAATGATAATAATGTTAATAATAATAACAATAATAATAATGATAATAATAATAATAATAATAATTATAATAAGAGTAATAAAACTTATAACAATAATAACAATGATAATAATAAGTGTAATATCAATAATAATAGTGATAGTAATAATAGTAATTATAGTAATCTTATTAAGAGTAATGGTAATAATCATGATGATGATGATAATAATGATGATAATAATAAACAACAATAATGATAATAACAATACTATTACTAATAATAACAATAATAATAATAATAATAATAATAGTAATAGTAATGATAATGATAATAATAGTAATAATAGTAATAACAATAATAACAATAATGATAATGATAATGATAATAGTAATAATAATAATTATGATAATGATGATGATGATAATGATAATAATAATATTAATAATGATAATAGTAATCATAATAACAATTATAATAATAATAGTAATTATAATAATAATAATAATAATAATAATAATAATAATGATAATAATAATAATGATAATAGTAATGATAACACTAATTATAATAATGATAACAATAATGATACCAAAAATAATAATAATAAAAATAATAATAATAATAATAATAATAACAATAATGATAGCAAAAATAATAATTATAATAATAATAATAATAATGATAATAATAATAATAATAATAGTAATAATAGTAATAATAACAAACATTGTTATAATAAAAATAACAATAATGATAATGAAAATAATAAAAATAATAACAGTGATGATAATGATAATAATAAAAAGAAAAAGAAGAGGAAGAAGGAAGGGAGGAGGAGGAACAAGAACACTGGTCATAATAACGTTCATGATGCTAATATTCCAAGTAATAATGATAATATTAATAAAAGCAAAAAAATATGTATATATATACGACTAAGGATAATGGTAATATTTATTATTCAAGGACGAGACTCTTTGTTATAATAATGAAGATAATAAAGGTGGAAATAACATAGAGTATGCTCAAGCTAGTAATAATAATAATAACAATACCGTTTTTAGTAACACAAGTAAAGTTAACTGTAATAAACCTAATGGCATTACGATAATAATCTTCCTGGACTTCTAAAAATCTCCATGGGTGTTGACTATTAAGATATCATTATTGTTTCATAATCAGCTTCAGCAATTAAAGTAAATAATTGTGGGACTAATGACCTATGGACTTTATTTAAATTACTTTAAGAACAAAGAATCGACAGCCTGATTGATATGTAGGCAATTTTTACAGATATCTGTGCTTCGCAACAGCGTAGTTCTGTTGTGCAATACTCTCTGTTCATTTTTGGAAACATCACTGTGTCTAACCTTGAAGTGTGGTGTTCTCCATACAGGTCTGGAGGGTGAGTCGACGTCCTGTAGTTTAAAAAGGCGAATAAAAAATCATATATCTATAAGACTGTGAGGCTGATTTCCGTCAGATTGCAAAGGTAATGAACGGAATATATGTTCTTTCATAGGTATAAATAGCAATGCTATCGGATTTACTGTTCCGGTGTAATCATTTGTAACGTCACAAAAGGTCATCGGTCAGGAAGCGTAATATATGTACCTACACAAGGCAGACTAACGGTGCTGAAAATCATGACATCAGTGCCGTTTATACTATCAGTATTGGTAATAGCAATATGGATAAAAACAATGGTAATAATCATAGTA